GTACAGATATCCCAATTCCCAGATGCTCTCAGGTCCCATAACAGCAACAAGCGCCGTCGCCCCACCCGGCGGATGCGTTGTTCTTGTTATGTGCATCACCACAACACTCAAGCTCACGGCAAACGCGCACTCGAACATCTGCAAAATTGGCTCTGCTCCAGCATCTGTAAAAGGAGGAAGATTCCAATGTTGCTGGATCCCCACTGCGATCTTATGTATTGTGACACCACAGATAGCTGAAAAACATTGACCGCCTATGACGCAGCGAGGTTGAGCTAGTGGTGATTCAATTACACCGTAGATGAGAACGGCGGTTGCACCTAGGGATGCAACGACTCCGGGCACGGCGTGGTGGATGAAGAGTGGAGCATTGTAATGAATGGCGGAGACGGTGAGGATGCCGAGGAATGCTGCGAGCCAACTGCCTAGAATTTGGTTTACGGTTAGGTGTGGTGGAAGGACGCCGCGGTTGTGACGTAGATGGAGAGGTTGGCGGAGGAAATGGAGTTTGCGTTTTGGAGGTGGATGGTTATTTAGGAGCGAGGGCGAGGGGGGGCCGGACGACGAAGGCCGCCGATGGGGATCAACTTTGCGGTCCATGGAGTTGTATGGAATGGAATCCTTCGAAAGGTAAGTGAGGGTGTTGTGCGATGAGGGTTCGTGACGGTAGTGGGGTAGCATTGATTGTATCGACCCCTTTTTTAGGAAAGGACCTTGAATACAGGGCGGGCACTCAGTACCAGCATTTGGGACCAGCCGACTGATATGCAGCATTTTCACACTGACCTATTACCATATGCTTTGGGGCTGATGTGCCCCAAAGTCAGCTGCACGGTAATAAGACCACCTATGAGGTTACGAAACCGGTTGGGTCTGCCAAGTGCCTATTTACTTTGGCTTCCCTGTGGAATTCATTTATCGCCACCCACAGTAAAGATGTGATGTGGCGACACGTGAAATTGAAATGGCTCACAAGAAGCAGAGATGGACTACAAGAGGAGCAGAGAGTGAACAATCGAATCTGAGAGAAAATCGAATTGAGAAATTAAAACGAGGTGAACGATTATTGGATCATAACGGCACGATTGGCGTGACTACCATTCATCCTGATCGAACATTTGAAGGACCCTCAAGAAACCTCTCCGACACCTCCGAATCAGAAGTAAACACAACGAACACGTAGCAAACATCCGCAGCAGATGCAGACATGTTGCTGCCATTCTCTCCGGAGCTTTTCAAAAAATCAAGCACTCAATCAACGATATCATATATACAACCCACGGCGGGCCGTGGAGATCAATAAGTACAGTAACCCTTTACATCATCAGGGATGCCCGCATTCCCACCAAATTCGCTTCCTTCCTTGATTTGTCAACCTATTCTTCAACCAACCCTCTGATAGTCTCCAATACCCCACCTCTCCCATCAAATCCATGAAACCTCCCAGCGTTTTGATGCGCATGCCCTCCCTTGTCATATGTTCCGTGGGATACATCACTCCCCGCTCGGTTCCGACCTGCCTTGGGTCTGCTTCCACTTACGGGCGGTCCCGAGGGAAGCCCTCCTGGTGCGGCATTATCCCGTTTGGGGATCTGAGTAATGACTCCGTCCAGAGATGTCGTCCATGACATGCGGCGTGCATGTCCGCGTTGGGGTGCGGGGGTTGCGGGTGTTGTGGATGGTGTTTGGGCTTTTCGTGAGGCGATGGTTTGCGAGCGGTGTGGGTGTTTGTTTGGGGAAGGGGGTGTGAGTGGAGGTGTTGGGGATGTTGGTGGTATAGTTGAGCGGTCGGATGTGTTGCCCACATGTTGCTGTTCCGTTAACGCAGGTGAGGCGCATACCGGATGCACACGATGATATTGTTCTAGTCTACGCATTTCCGGACTGGACGGTCTGCGGCCTCGTAGATGTCCGCCTGGCGGCGGCATGATAGGAGGTGCTGTTTCTGATCTTGCGATTGGTGGTCGATTGGCATTCACGAGGGGCGAGGATGCAGCTGGGGCGTATTGGCGGAGATTGTCGTGAGGGAGGGAGGGACGGCGCGCGTTCAGTATTGATGGCGGCGGAGAGGCGTATGTTGGCGAAGTAGGCGGCAGAGGTGGTATATTTTCTGATGGGCGTTGACGTCCCGACGGAGAGTCCGTGTCAGATGGTCTACGACGTTGGACTTGGTAAGGATTGGACGGCGCTTGCCGTGGTACACTCAAAGATCTTCGCAAGGCAGAGCCACGCTTTTCAGTCGACATCGATGATGCATTTGAGACTTTCCGTCCCCGTTGTTGGTCGTGAAGTGGGGCTGATCCTTCACGGCGGTAGAAGCTGGCATCGGACTGCATAGATGTGTGAGAGGAATAGCTGGTGTTCGCGGCGCTGGAAGACATGCTGGTATCGCCATCATGAAGGAAAGATTCATCGCTGCCAAGAACACTGCTTTCCCGACATTTCCGGGACCTCCGATCCATGCCATCTACCCCAGGGTTCTTCATCTTCAAAAGGGACTTGGTCCATTTGAGAACGCGGGAGAGTGATTTGGCGTTCCGTTTATGACCTTTTTTCTTGCCATCCTCTATCACCCTTGTCTCCTCACCACGAATACCTAAAGCCGATTCCGCTCGGAAATATGATACATCCGAACTATCCTCCACAAAACTTGCATCCCTGCCACTCCCTTGATAGCTTGTACCACCAGCACTCTGTCCGCTTCGTGCGCTTCGTGCACTTCTGCCGCTAGCAGCGCCGTAAGATGCAAAGCTCTCATCTTCACTGCCGCCTCCGCCTTCGTCCTCGGTGCTGTAGGTCAGTGTTCGAGAGCGCGTCGATTGTATAGAAGATGTTGAAGGACGACGTTCGGATAGGACGGAAAGGAATGTTGGATGGGAGGGGAAGGAAGTGGATAGTTGGGAGGTGGAGTGAGGGTCTTGGAAGAAGGTGCGGAGGTCAGTTGTGGAGGATGAAGCAGGGTGATGCGGTTGGACGGGTGTTGGTTTATGAAGGACCGGAGTGGTGACCTATTGCGAAGTCAGCAGCGTTAGCTGTTGTGATGTTGCAAATTGATCATTCAGGAGCGAGGCCATACCTCATCTCTTCGTCTGTCATCCTCCTTCCATCCTCCTCCTCCACCTGTCACACTAAGACTAGTACTTCTCAGTCTTCCCCCATCTGCGCTCCGTCCAGATCCAGCCGCAGCGTGCGGATATCCATAAGCAAACCCGACACCAACAACCCCTGCGCTCATGGGCGGTGGAACCGCCTGCGCACATCCTCGTCTCGGAGACCGATCTCCATTGGTCGTATCAATCCCGGGCAGGGGAAGACGTATCCGTGATTTCGGAGCAACAGAAAATGCGGGTGGTAGACGAGCTGATGGTGGTGGAGACATGGAGCGAAGGGATGCAGTGCGACAAGGGGATGATTGCGGTGAAGGTTTCTGGCGGGGAGGAGTTGAGAAAGTGGTGGAAAGGGGCGGAGATGGATGAGGGGCCGGAAGAGACATGGTCAAATGGTATGAGTTTATGGGTATAGGTGGAGTTGAGCACTCCTGTGCGAGGGAGATGTTACGGTAGACTTGGTGCAAACGGCCGCGATTGGAGAATCTAAGCTTTCAATAGAAGACGACAACCATGAAAATTGTGTGCTATCTGTGGAAGGGAGGCGGACAGGGCTTACTTGTCTTATTGAAAGTTCGACACGGAGAGGGGGCGCAAAACTTTCCCCTCGATCTTTCGCAGAATTCAACAATGAGCAGAATCCACCGGGTCCGTGGCTTGCCCTTCAATCCTGCGTCGATGGGTCACGTAACAGTGAGCATAAAGGCGTTCAACAGGTGTATAAAATATGCGTGTTCCTGTTCCTTCAGGATGCAATCAGTGGACGACGGCTTTATCGGATAGAGTTGGGCAGGAAACTGGAGCAGAGCGTGGTGGAGCGAGACGAGGTTTTGACTTTGGTAGCGGCTTATCAGATCCTTCACACATCCCAGCGGTTTTGTAGCAATCACCACAACAAGTTGATGGATGTCTGTGGGCAGGAGGTTCAGGGTTCCAGCGGCTGTGGCATTTGGATCGTCATGTACGGGCCCGGAAGAATTCCTTCCAAACGTGCGGATCGGGCCTGTCCATCTCCGTCCACGGCCAAATGGTCAATGCACCTCCGCAGGTGGTCGCCCGGCCTTCTTCATAAAGGCCAGCATAAATGTGAACCTCATAAACTTTTATCGTCCTTGTCCCGTGGACCAGTTTCCTGTGGAATAAGTCCAAACATATTGTGAGTTGCAACCCGTCTTGCCAATCTTCCCATCTCGCCCATCTGTAACCACACTTTCAGTTCAAGGGTTCGAAGATTAGGGTATGGGCTATCCAACGAAATTTTCATCGTCTTCCGCCAGGCGCAGCCGAACTTGACAACTGCGCATGCCCCGTGGGCCGGCCCGGAAATACCCACCCGTGAGACCATTGCCCAAATCCCTAGATTGCCATTTACCCGAAACTAGCACCACCTGCCATTCATGCCGTTCAAAAACGCCACTGGTACCACAAGCGTTCCACACTCATTTTGAACTTCCTTCCCCTCACTCTTGCCTTATGAAGTTTAACAGGTGATGGAGCTGCTGATGCACATGATCGTAAGAATGATCTCCTTCAGCGCACTTGAACTCCTTCCGTGGTCTTTGAGAAATCTTACTTCACGGGGTGGGAACTTTGGAAAGGGAATCGATCATCGAAGCATGAATGACATAATGACCATTTCTTATCAGGGAGCGATCGTTTCAAGAGACCTTGACAAGGTGTAAAGAGATGACAGGTGACCCTTCAGCGGTGAAGTTGGCAAACTCGCAACCTTCTGCATGAAATGAAGAGCCGCGGAGGATCCATCGTCAATGACTGTTGCCATCAATGGGAAAGCAAATGGGTTTTCGATGAGGTAATGAACCGGATGGATTGGAATGTCAAAATACATGTACAACAAACAATCAAAATTGACATCATTCAATGCAAAACGAATGCACACTGTGAGATTCGAACTCACGCCTCTTTCGAGACTACGACCTGAACGTAGCGCCTTAGACCAACTCGGCCAAATGTGCTTGATGAGGGTATATAAAATATTGCATATATAGCACGGTAGCATGTTCAAACAGAGACTGATTGAGGCAAGTGGGAGAGCTTCCCAAGAAGTTCGGGCTCATATCCGAACAATTTCTTACAGGGAAGAAGTGTCGAACTCCAGCCACGCCAATAGGCACCATACTGACTGGGCCGAGTTTTGGTCTAAGGCGTCCGACTTAGCTGGCCATCTATGCCATGCCGCCAGGTTGGCAAGTCGGACGCCTCCGACCAATTTGGTGAAGCGAAGGCTCCGCCTTGAAACCTAGCATCATATTGTATCAAGCACTCAACCCAGTCGATTTCCAGCAAGAGTCATGATTTCCCAAAGTCTTCTTGATTTGTCTAAAATCACATCGCTTAATTGATTAGAATGGGGGAGGGGCGCCCAGATGGAACACAGATGTTCGCCAGAGCTCACCAGCAGAAAGACTCCAAGGGACGGATCTGCATCATTCGCGTCACGACAGCACTCCATCCAGCATGCAACATGCAATCCTGTCATTGGTCCACTGACTACCTTCTTCGCCACAAGGTGGCGCCCGCCATTCTGTATTAGGGTACGAGCCTCCAAACTTATTGCACATTTCGCTCATGCAGAGCCCGACTTTGAACGACGGCTACTTTGCAGCCACAACCCTTTCCGCCTTCCCTTCATGGCCACAAACAGGACATTTACAACTTCCAGTATCCTTCAGCCCCTTCACGCAGTCATAACAGAACGTATGGCTGCATCCAACATGCCCCAATCCTTCTCCCCAAACCCACAATCTCTCCATACAAAGAACGCATATATCCCCGGGTGTAATGGTGTGCTGTCCGTTTCGATCGAGCTCAAAAGGGCGAAGCTCGATGAGGAGGCGGGACCAGGTGGTTGTGCCGGAATGGGAGGATGTGAAGCGTTGGTACATTGTGTCAGGTGGGACGTCTATCCAGTCGGATTCTGCCCTTTCAGGTGGTCCGGAAGACGTGCAGGGAGGTTGAAGACCGTAAAACTTGTAGCAGCAGTCACTGAAACCGCACTGATTGGGTGAGAATTGTTCTTTGCACTCCGGGCAGATACAATCTGCGCTGTCGTAATGCAGATCGAATGTGAAGAATTGTCGATTGTAGACTACCTGTGAGGGGTGAGGGTATTTTCAAGTCTCCAGCCATACGTTTCTTCAAAATACCCAACAAGCGAGAGTGAACTTACCAGATCATTATTGCGACCTGCCGCGCACTTCTTATTCCGGCAATATCCTTCAACCGCCAACCCAGGCAAAACCATCCTCCACCTCGGGGCATCATCGTTCCATTCCGTTGTCTCACTTCCCTTTCCACTGGCCAAGTCGACAAATCTTCCGCTAGCAGGTGGTGTCCCACCGCGGAGACTCAGTACCAAGTGAACTTTCCGATCATCATATATGCCGTAACTGACTAATGCTCGCTTATCGTCTCTGAGGACAATACCCCGGTATACCATCCTCTGTGAACGTGGCGGGATGCCTTCCCTTGCCTCAATCTCCTCCTTCAAGTCTAGCAAGGTTGCCGATGTGCAGATGGGTGTCGGAATCTGTTTTCCGGTGAGGGTTTGCACCGTCACGGTGAGGACTTTGGGAAAGTGGATTTGACCGTGCCACGTCACTTCGCCCTCGTTGAAGATGTCGTAGTATTCGATGGTGCGGGTGGGGTCGGCTGGTTTTGCGGATGTGCAAGTGGGGATTGCGAGGGGTATGTAGGCGGTTGAGAGGAGGGTGGCGGTTTCGGATATGAAAGGCTTGGTGGACGTTGGGGTAAACAGTTTGGCGGCTGACGCCGCCGCTTCATCCGCAAGGACGGCTCGGAGCCGGTTAACGAATTGTGAGACTGTTTCCGAACCTGTAAGGTTCGATACCGTGTATGTTGATGATGATGTGCTCCACGGTACAGACCTAAATGATACCTGGACAGTCCGCATGGTGAGACGTTGTGTAAATGGGTTTGGTGCGAGCGAGTAGGGGAACGCGTTGGCGTGGGGGGTTATTTATGTTGGCAGCTGTTGGTGGCAGTGGTATATGCGGCACAGTCATTGAAATGCCACAGCCACCAAACAAGTTGCTTCCCAGTGCCTTCCTGCATCTTACCGATAGTTCCACTTGGATAAACAACATTCCTGGTCAGTTGCATTATGCAAAATATAGCAAACTCAAGCGCAGAAGTGGTCCACTCCGCCATCACGGCAGAATAACAGGGATTGGGAATCCCTCAAGGTTCTGAGTCGCACACTTCAACAGGTGTTGCCGCAAGCCAAAAGGAGGAGGTTTAGGCCCATTGGACGCGATCGGATGCGTGATTGATGCATTGTGACCAATTCTGATTAAAGGTGAACGATGTTATACTATTGTTGTGCTACCAAGTACATCTGCTACAAACATTGCGAATAGCGCGGATTTTGCACCTTACAGCTAAATCCAAATTGACAACATTTAGGTCCAGTCCAGTTGTTACCACCGCACTAATCCCATTTCGTTGCACATCAAGACGTAGATGAAGTTCCTCCCGTAGGTGTACGAGCCGTGCTGGTTGCGGCAAGGCGCCACATTGTTGCGGTTGCAACATTAAAAGCGGTTCTTGTGGTAATTCGAGAAGTGGTGCTGCGTGCAGGCGCGGTCGTTCGTAGAGTGGTAGTAGTCCACGCAGCAGTTGTTTTCAGGCGGCAGAAGTAACCTTGCTCTTATCAGCATTCCCGCCCAGCTCCGCAGCCTGCTGCCCCTCCAACAACGAAGTCACATAGCTTTTGTATGACTGAAGTGACTTTCAGCTTGTGGCGAATACCAGAAATGTTGGACAACGCGCTCACTAGGTGTAGTACATTTGCCGGCGAGATTGGGGATGGTAAGAGAGAACGAAAGCTGGTCCGCTGCACCATTGCTAACTGCAAAGTTGAACGGCCAGGATGCTAAACGGGTGCCAATGACGCGATTCGGTCCGGTGTTGACGATAGAGATTTTGGCGTAGCCGGGATGAGGGGCGCGGATTTCGAATTTCACTGGGCGCAAAAAAAAGTTGTCACACCTCAGAAGAATGTATCGAGTTAGGTGAGCCACAGATACCAGCAGGTTAAGAGCCAATGCTGTGTGATACAATATAGTTTGTTGCTGCATGCGCTGGAAGGGACGTGCAAATGCACGCTTTCTCCAATAGACTCATTTTTTTATGAGTTTTCCTTCGCGGTTGCCCATTGCTTCTGTTGTATCGGGTCCGGCGGCAGGTGACAAAAGTAAGCTGCCGCATCTTCGAGTCTCGGCACAAATGTCACTTGAAAATGCGCATGGCCTGATCGTACTTCAATCAGACAGTTGGGAACAGAAAATCTACTTTTTAAAAAACCGGCCAGGGTTCAACTGGTTGTGCAAGTGCCCCATATGTCCTGGTGGCGCAGTCATACCGTATCTATCAATCGAGTGATCAGTGGGAGCGATGGACAAGCAATGCATTTGTTTTGTGCGGCTTGCAGTGCACCTAGTAATATAGCATCCTTTATGAGCGACATTGTTCCCTATTGTGACAGAAGTGTTGAGACTTCAGTGCCCTCATGCATTTACCGACCGGAAAATGCTGCGGAGAATTTGGTTTTGCCCTTGGTATATCATCCAAACAAGTAGAAGTAGGAGAAGATAGTCAGAAAAAGAATCCCTCGTCTGAGTTGAGGATCCTGCTTGCAAAGTACAACAAGACTTTGGGGAAGAGCGACGACACTTTCTTGACTTATGAGCTCGCTTTGGGCCGCATACCTGATTAGGTATCTGCCTAAGCCTTCTTAAACCATCGCGGCCTGGGCGGCATTTGTTACTCTTCAGCACGCGGAAGGTTTGGTGCCATGAGGAGGCAGCATCCCTGAGGATCGAGGAAGAAGCAATCAACCGCAAGCATCCCTCCCACATTTGGCGACAATATCATTGACCTCCTGCTAATCCTCATACCGACTGCCTCTGATTCTCGCTTTTCGCCACTGTGAAATTACAACGATATTTGATTGACATAGAAAGAGACCAAGCACACCACCAAGAAAAACAAGAGATTTTCATACATCTGACGGATAACCTTTATATCTAACGATAAGTTTTACACTGAAGAAACTAAAGTAGGAATTAAATACAGAACGCGTAGAAAGCATACATTCAGACAGGAAGAGTTGCATTTGACACCACATGCCCCTCTCCCTCCTAAAGGCCGCCATTAATTTCCCCAACAAAAGATAATGCATCATAGGTATATAGCAATGCATATATGTAATACTAATCTATGCTACTAGACGTGATATAACTTGATAACAGAAGGAAACAATCAAGGCCAATCACCGCCCACCACCAAGATCCCACCTCCGTTCACCACCTTCGGGGTCGCGATCATCTTGACCTAAGCCGGTGGAGTGCATAGGCATAGGAGGAACTGATGCTACCATCCCGCCGGGCATTGCGTCAAGACGGTATCCGCCTCCCGAAGCGTTACGAGAGTGGCCGCCCAACCGTGGTGATGGCGGCACATAAGCGGGCGGTAGACGTGGCGAGGAGGTTGTTGGCGATGTTAGGGGGTGCGAGAAGGTTGATCCACGCGGGGAGGCGGGACTATCCCATGACGGTTGTTGGGAGCGCAGGTTTTGCATGGGTACTGAGCGGGGGGATACGGGCATGTTGTGTCTTGTTCCCGCTAGTTGTGGTGAGGGTGGGACGGATTGGAGGTGGACGGAGGAGATTTGAGGGAGGACGTGTGTTGTTGTTACGCTGTGGGTTGCAGTTGCGAAGGAGTCTGTTGGGGATGGGGGTGTTGTTGTTGTTGAGGAGAAGTAGGCTGCGTGGGATGGGTTTATGGGAAGGAGGTTCAAGGGGTGGGCTTCGTAGTCTTTTGACAGGGCTTCTGCTTTGGATTTTATGGAGTGGGTGGAGGCTTGGGGGACTAGGTAGGACGCCTTGTCGTTGTTGAGTGTTGAGCTGCTGTGGACTTTGTCGCTGTTGTCGGT